CCGCAAAGCCCGGGCAGCTAGGGCCCTGCCGGCCTGCATCCGCTGCAGGGCCCTACGGCGGGCCCTGAACGCCCACCCCATTGAAGGGCTTCACGCAAGGAGCTCGCGTGCTGCGCGCTACTCGCACACATCTCTTCGTTATACTTTGGCGATGGAAGTAAAGTGAAGATAATCCCCCACAACTGAGACCTGTCTAGCGCCACTGCCTGTTTAGCAACAATCTGTTTTAACTTAAGTATACCGTGGAATTACATGGATTACTTACCGAATCAATATCCGCTATTATGACGCTATTACATACAATAGTTATATTAGCATCTATATTATTATAAACAAACACACCGCGCACACCATACAATAATGTAAATGGGCAGTGCTTACGTACGGCTAGGCCGTATCTTAATGTCTCGAGCTACTCGGGTAGCGGAATCCATTCCGCTTTTCCATACTTAACGAGACTAAAGATGGCGCGGTGGCGCAGAATGCGAAATAACGCCTTGGAAACTAAATTCACGAACGATTTGAGAGTTTAGATGAGCTAGAACCCTAACCCTAACCCTAAACCTAACCCTAACCATAACCCTAAACCTAACCCTAACCCTAAACCTAACCCTAACCATAACCCTAAACCTAACCCTAACCCTAACGCCAAAAAGGGGCTTCAACGACCGACGGCTACCGTACCTCCAGCCATAGACCGAATAATTCTGTCCCATATAACCTTTTTTATATTTTGGTGAGGGTTATATTGGGAATATAAACCAAACCCAACATAACCCTCACCAAAATATAAAAAAGTTATATGGGACAGAATTATTCGGTCTACTCCAGCCACTGCGTATATAAATTTTAATATACTTTAAAGTTTAATATTAGGCACCTTTCGAACATCTTATGAACATCTAATATGATCGCTTCGGTGTACTTTTACACGCTCACAGAAAACGCCTAATGCCGACAACTGGGATGGACTGATCGGCGACATTGCTGCCACGGAAGAGCTGATGGATGAAATAACGTCAGGATATCGAGCACAGAAGCGAAATGGCAATGGCGGACGGCCAGACAGCGTAGCTACGTCATCAAGGCGTCGCACATCCGGTAGAGCGTCATCGCACCGCCGCACATCCGAGAGTACGTCATCGAGACGCCCTGCATCCGAGAGTACGTCATCGACACGCCGTGGTTCGAGTTCGACAAGGGAGAGTCGCAGGCGGAGAACAAAGCGAACAACGATAACATCAGATAGCAACAAATATTGGCCATTCAACACTCCGATACAGTACATCATAAACGGCGGTCAGTAGCGACACCTCGTCGAATATACATATAATTATAAACTATCGTCTACCAAATTCTTCGTTGTGTCTGAAATAAAGTTGATGATATTACATACACGCGTGCGCTCGTGCACTCGTGCGCTGTATATGTATATTCTTTATTTTGTTTTAGTTATTTACAATTACATATTTATCCATATATATATATATTAGTATATATGTATATATATATTATAATATATATATATATATATACTGATACTGATTTATATTTTATTTATATGTAATATAAAATAAACAAGTTATTTATTAGGGTAGACAACGGAAGTAATTACGTCAACCAATATTTAAGCAATATTTTAATTAGCATTACATTATTTATTCTTTGGTAAACATTTTCCTTGGCATATCCTTACTTAATCTTAGAAGTTACTATTTTAATTAGCATTTACATCCCTTTATTATTGAAGCCGCAGTTTCTTTAGCCACTAAGCTCGAGTAACTCGTTCTAAACCACATTTCCCTAGCATTACGATTATCTGTTTCTTAGCGATGCCAAGTGGCAGTTCGGGCGGTGAGATACAGGGCAGCTGGGAGGATAATAGCTTGTATACGTTTCGATCGCAAAGGAGTACCAGCAGACGCAAAACCTTTACCTACGCCCTAGTCATCACTAGCTGTTTGGGTAAGCAAAGAACTTGTAAAAGAAGACCCTGATAATTGGAAGGAACAATTTTAGCTGCGAGGTCGATTTCTCAGCACCTTTCTGCACTCGGTTGGTGTCACGTTTCCAACCCTGCTTCATTCCTTCCCTTTTTTACTCTATGTTTGGTGGCTTAATAAGATGGAAAATGTTTACCGCCGAATTACGGCGAGTTGAGTTTGGCGTTCTACACCGCGCCAGCAAAAAGTAAGCAAGTTATTATCCGGCAAAGAGCTGTGATGTTATAGTAACAACTGCTTACAAGCTGACCGACCATGTGCGTACAACTTCACCTATCGCGGTCGCTTCATGCATTCTTCAATAGCTGCTTGCGGAGCGAAGGGCTAGCACGAGTATAACTAGAACATTCCTATGGCTTTGTAAACAGTGTTTCCTCGACTTCATATCCTCGCAATTGAGCGTGAGTGTCACGTCTTCTTACAGTGGCTCGTCCGTATGTTGGAAGGTATATCCGAGGTGGCCCAGATGAATATACTATTGCATGAAGGATGCAGAAGCGAGACGTGAGTCGTTCGTCTCGTAAATACGTAGCTTGTGCGCGTTTAGGCAAGATTGCATTGCAGTGCCAGGTTTTCTGCCTATCGTATAACTTGGTTTTTAGGGTTAGTGGTTGACGGATAAGAAGCTAAGTGAGTCCGCGGCTAATATTGTACGCCACAGCAATTGTGATAAATAGAACCATTTTCACAGGGCGATTTGTCCTACGTTACATATATCTTAAATAGGATACGTTATGTTAGGTGTGTTTTGTTGTTCAACACTGGTAGACTGGCTGCCGTGAGTGTGAGGCAGCGTCAGTGATGATCAGAGATTGATTGCTATGATACTGAACGCTTTAATTCCATATATCAGAGATACGCCCATTCACATAATAGCATCGTTACAGCGTCGGTAAAAATCAGAATATTTCTCATCAGTTGATTCTGGACGTGCACGATATATCTTTTGTATATAGACACACCTTTTATGAGAGTAACTCATTCGTAAAATTATCCTTTCCGAAATTCCTGTGTGGGCGTCGGAAACCTGAAAACAAAAGCAAACGTCTAACACGTTTAGCAGTTCACAGTGTAGGAACGAAAAGAACAATAGAAAATTGGTTAGATAATAAGTGCGCAGGAAACTACATCGAAAATCCGATGACGTTGTTCGACTTAGCCATTTCGTTAGACATGGCATGCGTATCTGAGAGAAATCGAGAAGCATTTGCCTGTCACCTCATGGTCGGCAACCACGCACGATTGGCAAACATCACCTACAACGGATATCTAACTAAATTCGCCCGGCGACCATTCCATCGCTGACGCGAAAAGCAGTGCTAATAGGAGATATTCTCTGTCTCTCCTCCATGTATTTGCCCGTTAGCTGGGTGTTGTGGTGCATGAGAGTGGTCACGCTTTAGGGTTTCTTCCACGAGCAGTCTAGTAAACGCGAGCGCGAGACCGGTCGACCCAGAGTTGTCACAATACTGTTCGGAAAACATCATTGCTGGGGCGAACTCAATTCGTCGCGTTGGCACCGGCGATGTTTTTAGAACCAGGACTGCATATGCACTATAGAATGGTTAATGCACTATGGACAGTAACTGTGAGGTAGGCCACGCGTAAGTATAGGGTATAATAACGATAGGGCATTGAATGAATCTATGTTTATTTTACTGCGAACAAACATAAATTCTGCGACTTGTCCTGATTCTTGAGCAGCTAGATTTAGCGTAGTCACGTAAATGCTGCACCCTTCTGTTGTCGGCCGCTAATACCGTGCATGTTTGATGCTTTCTGTGCCACTATACTTGTGACTGTGACTGGGGCGCACGCGGCGACACACATGTATGTGTGTGGTGTGCGTGCGTGCCGTGCGTTGCGTTCACTGGCGACGTCCGGTGTGTATGGCGTAATGCGTGTCTGTGCGTGTCCTTATGTGTGTCGGTTGTGTGTGTGTGTCACTGTGTGTGTCTGTGTTGCCAAGGCCGCTAGCTTCGAACGGGAGCTGACACGTCAAAGCGCGCACATTGACCGTGACCTGTTGCTTCAGCGATAGGTCAAACATGACGGCCTAATCCTTCCACGACAATCAAGCTCGCTAACATTGTCTACTGTGACGGTATGTGTGTATATCGCTGTGTCACTCCACGTAGCATGATGGGATGTTAACTTTTTGTCGTTTGTGAGCTGAATGTGAATCACCACTGGAATATTAAAATACAACTATTTCTGATGATGCATAATAAATGATGATGTTGGTTGATACTTATATACTAGAAGGCCCAACAGCCATCCGTGGCAAGCGCCATGAAGGGGCCCGCGAAATGAAGGGGCGCAAGGATGGGGAAATTGATTTCAAGTTGACATTTTGACTTGGATTTTTGGACTTTTTTTTTGAATTGTTTTATTTGTTATTTTTATCTTGTTATTTTTTTTATATTTTAATATTTTTATTTTTGTAGACTTTTTTGGATTTTTTGGAATTTTTATTGCGTCTTTTTTGATTTTGGGGTTTTTTGTTCTTGTTTTAATTTGTTGGTTTTTTATTCATTTTTTATATTTTTTTATTTTTTGAGAGTTAATGAATGGATTTTTATATGTGTTGGCATTTTTGGGGGGGGGGCATACTGGATTTCCTTTGGGTCACTTTGTTTGGATTTTTTTGGATATTTTTTTATTTTTTTTATATTTTTGGTTGGTGTGTTTTTTTCCGGATTTGATTTTTAACTAAATTTCCTTAATATTTTGGATATATCGGTACGATCACTCCTCTCCAAGCCCGCCTCCGCTCTCCCTCGGCGCTTTGCTCCTCGGTGACCCCTGCGCTCTATATGTCTGCATCGTGTATGTGAACAGCTGTTGTATTCTCTGCAATGTGACTCAGTGCCAGTTAGGTAGATGAATTTGAGAATAAGTCAGACATGCGATATTTGCGTATAATGCATAAAAAAAGCAAAAAAATGAAAACTCCAAAAAACAACGAACAATGGTTCCCCTCAAAGTTTACAGTATTTTCTGTGTTTATTGTGATTCGCGATTCCATAAACGCTGGCACACAGTCAGATTGCATAGAAGAGTTAAGCCCCACTAATAAATACCTCCAGTATACCCGAGATTACCATGCTTAGTCAATCCACAGACAGAGCAGACGGAGCAGAACATCGCAGATATATAGTATGATAGAGATAGATGATATATGATATTGTAACCACTCTCGTCACGCTTCCTAGGAGTGAGGTACAGGAGAGGGCAGTAAGAGTAAGAGTAGAGGCAACAGCGAAAGGCAAGAAGCTAAACAGAACTAGCAACGAACAGTACCACAAAGAGTCTCTCAAAATTCGACAATAATGCATACAGTCGAAGCAGAGAGCAGAAGCGAGGCTGAATTGCGTAGATATGTAACTCAATCACGTCAGTGATAGGCAAGTCGGCAACCGGTGTTTGGCAGGGAGGTGCGCCTGATGCTCTTCTCTCCTTCTCAGCTCTCTTTAAATCTCCAACCGAAGTGTTGTTCGACCGTCACTGCTACGTATGTGAACTCGCAGCCGGGCGAATGGAATTAACTGATTCTCCGCGCAGTCAGCTGCGGTCTGGTTCTAACCTGCTCGGCCATGGCACTCGTTAATAGAACTTATGTTATTGCTTCTGATATTACCTTCAGCGGCCAACCCTGGATCCGCGTGTGATACCGTAGATGGGCGATCAATTCTCTTCTCCCCACCGTAGCCACCCTCTATCTCGGTCCCCACGATGATAATTGTGCACCTAATGGACCCGCCATGGCTAAATATGCCAAGCTAACAGTCTAATTTAAAATAAGGCCTGCTGAAACGCAGCTCGAAGTGGACAATATGATGAGTATTGCTAGTAGCAGGAGTAGAAATCAAAGATCATTATCTTAAATATTTATCGAATATTAATATCTTGTTTACTTATTCGTATGATGCTCAGACATAATCATAAATGTTCACGGTAACGTCTAATACTGGCTCCAGAGTATACTCCCTGTATGGCAGTGGCATATTGCGGTGTTGTCGAGTGGACTACTTGGTAGGGTTGCGAGGGTACTTATCTACGATTAAGCTCGATGAATAGACAGCGTCGATGATGCCTGAGGTGCGAATGCACGAGGACGCAACTGAAAGTAGACAGACATTAAACAAGTGTTTGATCAAGCTCAAATGTTACTGATACGGGTCTAGATGTTTTACGTCAAGCACACAGTACTGAGTTAGAGAAAGTGACATACTAGTCGACGGTTCACAAACCCTGGCCTCTGCTCCTGCCGTGTCTGGTCCCGGGCTAACATTCTCAGCCCTTCGCTAAAAGCTCTCCTCGCTCCTCCATGTCCTCTCCTCCTTCCCTCCTCCTCCCCTCCCCATCCCCCTCCTCCTCCTCCTCCTCCTCTCTCCCTCCCCTCCCCCCTCCCCCTCCCACCTTTCCTTCCCCGCCCTCTCCTCCTCTTACCTGCTCCTCTTCTCAACTCTGACCCTCATACCCACTTCCTGCTATTCTACCTATTGTCCTTCTGTTTTTCGCTCTATTTGCCGCCCATGTCAGGATTTAATCGATGATTGCAGCCTCTTATATGCAAGCCTCTCCTGCGGCGCCTAGTTCGCACCGACTTGCTTAAATGTCGAGTGTCGGCGGTGAGCTTCCAGTTGTCCAGCCTATCTTACGTCCTGTCCTACCCCGCACGTCTCACTGTGCGTGTCCGTTCGTTAATTCGCGTACTATTTGTCACGTTTTTTGTCACGTCCAAACCGCCGATATAATATACCCGTACAACAATCCAAGCGCAGGCGTGCTATCCCGGAGTAAGATAAAGCTTTGAAATTAGTTTAGGACATTTGTATTTTTGCGGTTTAGGTGGTGTGCGCAGGATTTAAGTAACAACTGTGATCGAGGAATACAAAATCCGAACGACTGCATCTAAGCTGTCTCTGCCCAGCATGGACTTCACGTGGGTCAATTTTGCGAAAGTTCTGCCAATCTAACGGATGTACGTGTAGTTAATTATATGACAACACCACCACACAACACTAACACACCATCACCAACCAAAGGTGCGACAGCACACCACTACAAAGCACGAGCACCGGTGTCCCCTGTCACACGCCTTTATTTTCTCTTCACACACACGGCACCACACGCACGCACAGACCCACGCAACTGCCACGGCCCGCACACGCACACACGCAGTGCGCACAGACACATCACAACACACATCAGCTACCCCCGCCTACGGCCAAGTCCCTGGTTTCTCTTACTTCAATAATGAACTCATGACACACACAAATCTACTATCATAGTGTACACTATACACACAATAATATATTACATAGTGTAAATACGCACGGGGAAATACCGCATCGCATTGCACAGCATGACAACCGCATGCACACAAACACACACACATACATTCATACATGCATAGAGTCATTCATTCATTCATTTATTCAATTACACAGCCTCGAAGTTCGGTGAGATCAGAGAGCTCGCATGTGGTGATAGCGGAACCATCACTGACACTGTTTCTCCCGACGGAACCACATTCAAGACGTCCGTGCTGTTGAAGGTAAATACGTCAATAATGTAGAGAAGTCACTTCTTCCACGTACTTGCAATGTCAGCTGAGTAATGACTATATATGTCTACGCTATTAGCCTGCTGCGTGAGTGTCTGCTAATAGTAGAGTGTTCTCAGTTAAGTTGTTTTAAGCGGTCATAGTTAGCGTTGTCAACGTGCGACAGTTGCGGTAGATTCAGTTAAACAATTACATGCATGTAACCGGCAACCAGGAGAAACGCCCATATGGCATTCATACACAGGTGGCCGTTATATAGAGGTAGATTCACTAGTATGTCTGTTACACAGTGTAATTGCCCAAAGTGGCATTCGGCCACGTGCTTTCTCTAACATACACGTGGTTCTGCGGAGATGGTTTCACTGTCGAACAGCAGTCCTTTTCCATTCGTGCCGTATCCCGAAGCTTACTATATTTAGTGGTCATAATTTACAAAATCCGTATGATCGAATTCACGTACCTCACATCTTTGTAACGCGGGTGTTAACTGTAGTACAATGTCAAACAATGGAATTAATTTCATATAGAAATCAACATTTGGCAACGCGTGTTTTTCGTGTTTTCTGGAGAACATAATAGACCGATTAAAATGTTAAACTAAATATATCAGTGTATACACAGAAAGTAAATAATGCCAAGTAGAAGAAGTGAATAATAACCTGTTATTATTAGTATGTTATATGCCCATTATAAAATAAATAAATAGGGTCGTGAAAAATACGTTAGATATACGTAACACGTTGCTCACACGTGATGTTATGATAGTTATATGTCATATACTAATTTTTGCGTTACTAAATTTACTATATTTACTATTTACAATTTAGTAATTTATGACATTTAATATGATATGTATTTAGTTTTACTATTACTATATTCTAGTCGCACGCCAAAGGCGTCATTTCTGTGCTTCGACTTACAAATCTCAGCACATCGTTCATTTACCCCCCAATTTAATGCTGTTTTAACCAACACACTACTAATTACATGCAGACTAATTACTGTTCACGCATGTACATGCGTGTTTAATTAAGTATATATTACGTTTCCAGTCGCCTGCTAACAGCGTCATAACACTCCGACTGACGAGTATCGACACAATCGGTTACACGGATGCCCAGGTGGGATGTCCAGATCACCTGGAGGTCCGAACGAACACAGAGATTATCGGTCGCAGGTATTCATATAATATATATACCATCGTCGCCACGGGGTTCTCAGTAAATTCAATAGGACTGTGTCATCCTTGCGTGTTGTAGAGACGGCAATATTTCCAAGTATTATTGTTGTTGTTATTAATATTATTTCCAAAGTGGATCACAGCATTAGCCGGTGGCTTCTGGGTTGGCCGTATCCCAACCTGGATCAGAACAGATTGAATCCTGAATACTATTATAATAACATTTTGATATTCATTAATTATTATATCATAAAATTTGAAG